TATGAATAAGTTAAGCTAGGTTGGCAATTCATAAGACAGAATAAACCACCCTTTGTTTATTTGGGAGCTAGGTGGTGGGTCCCAAGAGTCAAAAGTATGAGTCAAACAAAGACAGAAAGGGGAAGAAGAGGGGAGAGATGAGGCAGGGAAAAGGACAGGAAAGGAGGGGAGAGGAGAGAGAAAGAAGCAGAGAATCAGAGCCAACATGTTTTCCCTAAAAATACTAGACTCACACAGGCGGTGGTGACTATACTTTTAATACCAGCAATGGGACACAGAACTAGGTGGATCTATGTGATTTTGAAGCCAGCTAGGTCTACTGAGTGAGTTCCAGAACAAGCTCCAATCTACAGAGAAATCCGTCTAAAAAACAAACACCACCACCCCCAAAACTGAACTCAGTGTTTCTTACTGCACTCATCATAAGAAGTTGGTTATCAGAAGCCAAACTGGAATGACAGCAAATGGCCTGAAGTCAGGATTACATCCTTAGCCTTCCAGTCTTCACTGTGTCTACATGTCACTCCATAATTGTCGCACTGAGGGTTACAGCAGCCCACACTTTTGCAACAAAGAAAACAGAACACTTTCTCTTCTCAACATTTTTCTATCACAGAACCCTGTAGGTAAGGCCAGGTTAATCTCTGCTTCTCTGGTCAACCAGATTCAGGAATTAAATGTCTCATTGGCTGGTTTAAGGCTAAGTGGTTCTCAGTCTCTCTTTCCCTTTAGTGAAAAACTGCATAGTTCTCTGCCTTCCCCTCCTCAAACCTAGACCCATTCATGTCCCAAAGCTCAGGCCTTGCCCCTCGACAAAATAGGCCTGGGGAGCGACAGTTTCAGCTAGAGTTCCCCTGCCCAGGCACAGTGACTGGAAGTCTCTGTTAGTGGCTGGCTATCCAGAGTCCCAGTGGAAGGGTAGAAGCATCTTGAGTGTGGAGAAAACCAACTCAGCATGCCCCTACATGGTTTTTATCCAGGAAAAGGTAAGAACTGGGGAAAAAAAAGGAGGTACTGGGGTACTAAGGGGAGCGTACATGAGAAATGGCCAAGCACAGAGGCAATTGGGTATTGGGACAGCAGACATTGTTCCCCAGACACCATGTGGTTGCTGAGAATTGAAGTGCTCTTAAGTGCTGAGCCATCATCTCTCCAGCCCCTGTAATGGTTCATTGTCAGCTTCACACACTGGGGAGGGAGAGCCTCAGCTGAAGGATTGCCTGCATCACATTGGCCTGTGGGCACAGCTGCTGGGC